AATACATGAAGAAATACTACTCCGTATATTGTATGGAATAATATAATTATTAGTAAAAGGTTAACATCTCTATTTATTAGCCGAAGTTATTTCCCAAAAAGGACCATGCTACACTTACCCCAAAAAATGTATACCACTTGTACACCACAGTTTTGCACAAACATTTTGATGGTTTACACCGATACAAGTGTTGGTGCGTTAACAAAAATTTACACGGACACAAATGTTGGTGCGTTAACAAAAATTAGTTTTACACCAACATAAAATGTTAGTGCAGACCCGCGGGGTACAAATTGAGGTATAAATGTTGGGGTACATATAGCTTAATCCTTCCCAAAAATCTTTTTTTCCAAAGTCATTTTTTCATTAGAAATCATCCTAAATAGGACTAAAACATAGAGAAAAGTACCAAAATAAGACTTTCATGTTTTTTCTCGGAATATGACTTTGCATTGTGGTAATGTGACTTTGCATTGTGGTAATGTGGCAGTGTACATGTGCAAATTACTATACTTTCTTGGTAATGTATATGACCATGTTTGGTAATGTAAGTCCTATTTCAGGAATAAAAACATGAAAATCCTATTTTGATATATTTTAAATGTTTTAGTCCTATTTTGATGTCTTCCTTTTTTCATCTTTCTTTACACGGACCATAATACTTCCGTATTAAAAACAAGGCCCAAAGTATTTGAATTAGGTGGGATATACTCCGTACTTCGTACCACTATAGAACGACCCGACCCGGCTTGTTCCCATCGAAGTGTAATCTAGGGTTTTTAAGGGTTTCGATTGTCCGGAGAGACGGAGACTGAAGCAGCCTTCACAACCAAGACCAGAGTCAGTCTGCGACCTCAACGATGCCGAAATCCAAGCGCAATCGACAGGGTTAGCATTTTTCTTCGTTAGGGTTTTGCTGCAAACCTTAATGCCGATTTCTCGTGTACCATTTTCTGCCAGGCAGCAAGAAATTTGTTTGCATTCGAGCGTTTTTGCATGAAATTAACTTCTGTTGCTACATGGGATTGATTCTTGCATTGAATTTTGTTCCATTGTTTTTGCTATTGTTTTTTTTCTTGACTTGAAACCAGTTACTCTATCCAAGACGAAGAAGAAGGGGAGAGCCCACAAAGAGAACATTGTGAACTTGATCCGGGAATCGGCTGATAATTATAGTTCCCTCTACGTGTTTGGTTTCGAGAACATGAGGAATCTTAAGTTTAAGGAGTTCCGAGAGCAGCTTAAGTCTTCTAGCAGGCAAGCTTAAAATCTACCCTGGCAAAACTGTGAGACGTTAAAGAAATGGTTTAGTGCCATACTTGAACTGCAACTTGTTTGGCACTTATAAAGTTAGGGTGCTCGACAAAAAGGAGTTTCTTGGGAAGTCCCCCCCCCCTCATTTTTTTGGGGAAAACAGCTTTATAAGCTTGTTTTGAAGTTTTTTGAAGCAGTTTTTTTCCTTTTCGAATTTGGTTTTCAAAAAACTTGTCTTTTAGCTACTATGAACAGCTCCCCAAATAGCTTTCACAATTAGCTAAAAATTTAATAGCTTGTTGCCAAATGGTTCCAAAAAACTATTTATTAAGTTTGGCTTAATAGTAAGGGACTGTATATAGAACTTGTGCTAAATTATTGTTAGTGTTTCCTATGATGAGTTATTTGAAGATTTGCAGTCTAAACTCTACATCTTTCCCTTAACCATTTATTTGTTCAGATTTTTCCTTGGCTCAAACAAGGTAATGCAGTTAGCACTAGGTCGATCAGCTGCTGATGAAATTAAACCGGGTCTTTATAAGATTTCTAAGGTATGCTTTTATGTAGTATATATGTAGAATTTTCCGGGTTTAATGTTATATAGTCCTACTTTGTAATTTGTTGATTATGATACTTGTACAGCTATTGCGTGGAGATACAGGGCTTCTGTTTACCAATTTGACCAAGGAAGAGGTTGAAAGGTATCTCTTTATTCTAGGCAGACATCTAATGCAGCATAATTATGTTTGATCAATAGACTCAATACAAATCATGATATTTAAATGTCCTTTTTTAAATAGTACCTGTACATCACAGAATTGTTAATGAGCTTCTCCAATTTGGCATCCCATGTTCCCCATTCTCTTTATTCACATTTTAGTACCCTTATGCTATGTAGAAGTGGTCCTCTCTTTGAATATTTTTGACCAAAACAGAATCATATTCCCTCAAATGATGATCCTTTTTTATAACTTGCCAATAGTTTTGAATAAAGAAATAGTTTAGATATTGTACATTTGGCTGCACCAACAAATATCTTTTGAATAAAATAATTTTATAAATAAGATTTCATTCATGACTCATAGTTGGGACGAAGGGAGTTAAAAATACTTGATTCAAACTTTCAATATCCTTGCAGATTATTCAACCAATATGAAGAATATGACTTTGCCAGGACGGGAAGTCTTGCAACAGAAAAGGTATGTCAAATGCCATGTTTTGATCTACCAGTGTGTGTGTGCCTGTGTGTGCTTGAACCATCTATATTCTATATGTTGAATCCATTGGTTTATTCTTTTAGGTTGAGCTAAAAGAAGGCCCACTGGACCAATTCACCCATGAAATGGAGCCATTTCTCCGTAAGCAAGGAATGCCTGTTCGGTTAAACAAAGGTAGTTAAATAATGTATGAATAGACATGCATGGTTATTTATTTATAATATATACCTTTCAAAGTTAGTGTCTCTTCAATTTAACAAATTGTGCCACGTCCAATCAGGTGTTGTTGAGCTAGTGTCTGACTATGTTGTGTGTGAAGAAGGTGCGCCTTTATCCCCAGAAGCTGCACGTATACTGGTTTGTAATCTTTCCCTCCAACCTTACATCTTTTTCTACCAAACTAAAAAAAACTGATCCTGAAATTCTCCCATCAATCTCTATGGGATATCTAGATTTGGTTTATATCTTGCCGACCATTCTTGAACTTGATAGATGCACACTTTTGTTCATCTTTTGGTACTGCAGCGTCTGCTTGGCATCAAGATGGCTACGTTCAAGCTACATTTGATATGCAGGTGGGCCCCGGACCAGTTTGAAATCTATGTAGAAGGTTTAGAAAATTCTGACGTGGAATCATCATAGGAAATTCAAATGTGGTTTACACATTCATTTCCCGTGTTTGGGCCAAATGGACGGGACCCGGAGAATGTTCGGTTATTCGCTTTTCACCTTCAAGTGGTGTGCTCTTGTGTTGGGTTATCATTTCCTTTTTGTGTTGACATTTTTTTTGCTTGCAATATGGAGGGTTAAATATGTTAGAGATGATACTGAGTGTAATCTGTGTTTGTATGAGTATGAATCCCTTAAAAGAATGCCTAGTTATGGTTTTACAAAAGTTTTTACCATCGTGTCTTTTATATTCCACTATATATCAGTAATTCTTTTATCTTCTGAGATTATAAAATTGATTAACATATATTTATAAATGGGCATGCTTAACTCTGCAGCATTGAAATGGGTTAAGTCGGAATTAATCATATTAAACTATAGGTACCTAAAAATTAAAATTCCTCGTTTAATATTCTACTTTTTCTGACCTTGTTCTATTATGTCTTGTAAATAAGCGGTACAATTATTAAGAAAAGTGAAATTATGTGGTTACAATTTATGTTAAGAATCAGACCATACACGACAAATTTATTCGTGAACTACTCCCTTCTTCAAATTTATTGGCTTGTTTACTATTTTTAGTTTTTCGATCATTTTTGTTTACGTAAGCATTTTCATTGATCATTTGAACAGATATGTTAGTACTTTTTATTTTTATACCAATTTGTGTATCAAATCATTTTTTTAAAAAATAAGGGGCTGTTTGTTTCAGCCTCTTAATGGTTCAGATGTCTGAATGGTTCAGCACTTAATGGTTCAGACTGTTTGTTTCAGCCTCTTAATGGTTCAGATGTCTGAATGGTTAAGAGATTTTGCCTCTGAATGGTTAAGTATTATACAAAGTCTGAATGGTTAAGACCTCTTATCTGAATTGATCAGACATTTGCCTCTGAATAGTTAAGCAATATACTAGCTCTTAATGGTTCAGATCTCTTATTGGTTCAGCACTTACCTATTCAGAAGTTGCCAAACAGCCCCTAAGATTTGCACATTGCACGAAAACAGACATAAATTTGGGACATAGAGTGTGTATGTTAAAAATTCACTTTACTATTCAAGTGATATTGCATCACACTCTTTTCCAAGTTTTAACGGAACAAAGAGCCATTCGGCTTTTATTCTAAAAGAAGAGTGGATTTTGATTTGAGGAATGCTACAGGTACCCCATTTGGGGTACCCCATTTTGTACACCATGCATCCTAGCCCTTCATTTATTTTTTTATTTTTAATTTTTTTTCTCTCTCTTGCTTTGTGTGGTGGAGATGGAGGGGGTACAAATGGGGTACCCCAAATGGTGTACCCCTAGCATTTTTGGATTTTGAATGAGCTTTTTGCGCCATTTATTCTTCAATTTTTTGAAAAATTGCACGGATTCTTCATCCCTACTCTAAAAATTACACTAATGTCCCTTGAACTTTTAAAAATGTTACACCAACAATCTCTCTGTGTCAGATTTGAGAGTGCATTAATCACACGCTCATCAATATACGTGTTGGAGTTTAATGAAGATGTCATAAATTAATGAAGAGATCGACTAATGGCTGGTCTTAAAATTTGGTCATTGACGGATAAATTGAGAATAATAATCTAGAGTATAAAGAGGTTAAAAATATAAAAAACAATATTTGGGAAGGACATATTGCAAAACTTGCGTGTGATATGTGATTTTAGATAAATCTATACTTGTACTAGATGAGCGTGTAATTGATGCACTTGCAAATTTGACACAGAGGGACCATTGTCGTAACATTTTTAAAACTTCAGAATCACTGGTAAAAATTTTAAAGTTCAAGAAAATTCATGTAATTTTTGAAAAGCTCAGAAGTAAATTATTTAAAAAAACTCGATTTTAAATAAAAAAAATAAATTAATCATTTACTCTACTTCCAAAATCAAAATTGCTGCTTCCAAAATCAAAATTGCTTATAACGTGTAGAATCCAAAATCAAAATTGCTTCTAATAGTAGGAACACAGATAGGCTTAGGTTGGTTTTTTAGCTCACAAGCTAGTGGATGAGAAGCAATGATGAAACCAAGAGTAGTAGTAACAATTTCATTGAAAACAACACATCCTACAAAGATAAATCTGCAAGTTCAATTGCCCTAAAGAAAAGAAAGAGAGGAAAGGTCCGTTCAAGCGGCCAAGGCTTGTACGAGTTCAGCCTTTTTACCCTCCAAGAGCTTCAATTCGGCGTGCCAACCTTCTAATTTAGCCATCTTCTCCAGTTGCTCCGGCTTCATGTCCTTTTCATGTGTTTTCTGTTGTTGGGTTTCTGTAAGCCGAATCTATAACAAACAAAACATACGGAGCCGGAATCTCAATCCAAATATTCTCTTAGCATGTGCTTGGTATAATAGAAAAATAGCAAATAAAAGAGATAGAGAAGACATTTCCCCGGTTTTGGGTAAACAATTGTACTATTACTACATGCACAATTTCAATTCATCCTTGATCTCAACGTGTTCCTATCTAAAGTCATAAACTCGGTGAGATCTTGAATTCGTTAGTCATGTCTAATTACCTCCTTCCAACTTTACAACCAAAATGATTAGTAAATTTCCCATACCATATGTGGTCCAAAAAGGACACCGTGAATAAAGGCTGGGGGAAGTTTACAAACAGAACCATACTAAAATGTTATTAAGCTTAAGAAGATTACCTTCTTTTTGAGAGCTCGGATCTTCTTATCAATGTCCTGAAGATGATCCTCTGATGTTGAACATTCATTTGAATTTGGCGGGAGGTCAACATGATTTGAATAGATGACAAGCTCATTCATCTTGGCTGCAACAGTTTCCATATTATTTGACGTGTGGTTTTGATTTTCGGCAGAACAAACGTCATTAACTTCAATTTCATCTCCCTTTTCGCGGGCAGCCTGCCACATGCCCACATGTCACATAAAAAATGATACGGAGTAGTAGGAAATAGACAGGGACATGAAAAAATTACTCCGATTATAGAAACTAGACCGCAATGGAAATGTCCACTCTATTGTCAAGTAGTAGTAAGGTCTGCGTACACATACCCTCCCGGACCCTACTTTTGTGAGATTCTACCGGGTTTGCTATTGTTGTAGGTTACATGTTTAAGATTGTAAAAACTTAGCACACACAAACGGAATGACCATACAATATTTTCTAAATACTCCCTCCGTCCCAAAAAAAGCATCCCAATTAGGTCTGACACAAAGTTAAAGAAAAGTGAAATTGTGTGGTTGAAAGTGATGCAGACGGGAGAAAAAATTGCTGGGGCCACACAAAATCTGCCAAAAATGGAATGAAGACATTCAAGTGCAATAAACCTAGTGAAATCTGACAAAGTGGGTCAGTGTACGGAGAGAGCTTACCCCTAGTTGGACAGTAAAGAGACGACCAAGAGACCTTTGGCTCAAAAAAATAAACATGAATAACAAATTGATCCTGCTCCTTTTTGGTACTCTCTGCTCCTCTGGAACTCTGCTAGTATGGAGGAGAGTTTCCATACTTTAGTTATCGGACTCCAAAATACATTTTTAATTTTTTTGCCCACATTAAAACAGTATCCAGACTCTCGTTAAAATTAATGCGAAAATAGCAAACCCCTAGACTGTATTAAGTATGCCAACCCCAACCAAACCCCTAAAATGCAAGCAGCATGATGAAGTGAAATTATTGGGAGCACTATAATGCTATAGCATCTTGGATGCTCACTAAGTAACATGTCATAAATGCTCACTAATTAACAAAATATATCAACTATCTTAATAACAGATGTTCACCAGCGCCCCTAACAGACTCTGAAACAAGCAACAACAACAAACCGAGTAAAATCCCATAAAAAGTATGGCCTAGAAAAGATGTGTGTACGCAAACCTTACCCCTAACTAATAGAGAGACTCTTTTCAAGAGGCCCCGGCTCAAGTACGAAAGTACAAAAAAAGATGCCAATGTAACTAACACAAATGAAGTACAAACATAGACAAACGAAGCATACAATCTCTAAGAATTAGACATAAGGATCATGCTAGAAACCCACCACGGTTGTCCCTACAGATGACAATCACATGCGATTTTATACATACACAGATGATAATCATTTGCGTTCACAGGCGATTATCATCTTGAATGTATGAATCATCTCTGATTGTTATTCGTGGGGACACTCGTGATGAGTTTCTTGATTTTTTGTAGACATAAAGCATAAAAAGTACAAAAACACGAGCTTCAAACTAAAATTAGGTCTCCATGTGTGCCTGAGGTCATAAGTCATGTCTAATCAACTCCTTTCAACTTTCTAATCAACTCCTTCCAACTTTCTAATCAACCCCTTCTCAATTCTCATGCCCTATACCACAAACTTCTCTAAACAAGTAAGCATAGGGCCAAGGGGAGCGTTGTGCAGTTGGCAAAGGAGAAAAGTGGCAAGAGGTAGACCCGAGTTCGATTCCTAAGGCTAGGAGGCAACAATCCTACGCATATGGTTTGCAAGTATCTAGTGCAGACTCTACTCTTTGACACCAATATGCAATTAAAGTCCAATTTACCTTTGTCGGGTCTGAGGGGGCTGATGGGGCTCATCCTTTTCTAAACAAGTAAGCATTGAAAGAAAGAATGAATTGGACCTGGAGGCGCTTTTCTTTCTTCCTTTCGTTCCGCTTGGCTGCTTTGGACTTGGCTTTTGGGGCATCCATTGCAGGGTCATACCCCGGCGGCACTTCCTTCAATGCCTCCATTTCCTTCTTCCACTACCATCACCACCAAAAACAACAGTTTCAGAAAAGAAATTAGTAACAGTTTGAGGGGTAAAAATTGTATATATTGAATAATACGTACGAGGGCGCCTTTGGATTTGTAAATGGCGACTTCATCTTGAGGGACGTATCCAGCCTTAATTCGGATGGGCTTGCGGAGAGTGCCGTCGGGTCTTCGGGTCGGGGCGATTATTCTCTCGCCGGCCTTTGGGGTTCCGGCGGCGGCGGCGACTAATCGCTTAGCTTCTTCTGCTTCTTCCCCTCCTCTGTTCGCAGGGCTACTTGCCATTGATTCCGCAGCTTGTCCGATTATCGATATCTAGGATAGAGGCCCGTGTATCAAGTATTTTTAAATTAGTTTGGGAAATAAGAATACTTTTTTTTTTAAGATTAGAATACTTCTAATTTCACACCACCAATCTTTATCTTGAAAAAAAAAATCAAACTTATGAATTATATTATTTACTACATATACAATACAACATTTATTCATTTATAATTAAATAATCATCCAATTTTAATAAAAAAATAACTATTCAGTATTCTAGAATGAATTGAAATAGGGAGTGATATATATTTCCTCACCTAATATTTGTTTTAATGATTTATTACGATAAAATGATTAAATTAACACTAGTATTATTAGACAATTATGTAATTTTTAAATATATAAGTATAAATTTTTACCTCGTGAATAATTCTGACATCTAAACATTGTAATATGAGATGTTATGTCGGTAAGTATTTATTAATTCATTTCGTCAAATTACTTGCAGAATATGTTAGAAGTATCAATATAGACATTAAGTATTTTCAGAAAAAATCTAATAAAAAAATCAAAACATGTTTATAAGATGTTGTAGCATCTCACTCCCAATTGTTCACAACATAATTAATCTGTTTCTTTTTATCCTTTTTGGGTCAAATCTAAGTTGTTGGACATCTATTTCGAGTCATCAAAATGTAATTCCCTTTTTCTATGGGCTAAATCTCACTTCAGAATGACTTTCATAATTCTCTTTTTACATCGGTCAAACCTTATTTTCAAGTCGTCAGAGTCTAATTTTCTTTATTATATGTGTCTAGACATATTTTTTTTTGATACAAAATACCATGAGTATATCAAAAAAGTATACTTCATTTGCATATTATCAATTTTCTCACCATACATATCTTGATATTGAGTATTGACAAGAAGAATGAAGAGTCTATAAAAATGTGCGGTAGGAAGACTAATAGCGTACAAATTGGGTACACACTAGTATTACTCTCTTTTTATTTGTCTCAGAGCAAAGATAATGACGTAGAAATTAGCTACCATGGCACACCAACTTACTACAAGGTGTTTGTTTTATAAAATTGCCTCGAGTGATTTTAAATTTTCTCCTTGCATTGGGAAGCATCAACTTGGAGTGCTACGCCTTTTTTTGATAAAAAAGCTTTTTTTGTAAGAAAGTGGATAATTTTTTGATAAAATAAATAACAAAAATAATTTTTTTATAACAAAAACATATCAAAAATGGTAAGAAGTCATAAAAATAATGACTTACCACTCTAACAGTGTAACACTTGCTAACTAAATTATTTTTTATTAGTTGAAGTGTATTATGTCAACGTGTAGTATTCTGGTTTAGTTACAATTAGATAAACACATGATATAGATTAATTTTTAAAATATTTATTTTAATTTTATACTCCGTATAAACTAGTACTCCTAGGGGAAGTTCACGCCAGCAGCACATTGTTTGATCGCCTTCCGGCTATTTTTGCGATTAATTACTGCAATACATTACTGCAAATTCAGTCGCCGGCGGCATAAATGAGGACAAAACCAACGGCGGTGTTCATGGCCTTCGGAACCAAAGGCGATGTCAATCCAATTGCTGTGAGCCCCTCTCTCTCTCTCACTGAATATTTGTGTGTTTTTACATCCAATCGCTACAATATACGGAGCACACTACATGTTTGTAGAAACTAAAACGGAGCTGGATTAGATAGCAGACCTGCAGAATTGATGATTGGGGAACTATTAGGGGATGCAACTGTGTTACCCTGCAATTGTCATTGAAATCGCCCCGAAAAGAGCAAAACTAAGCTTTGTCTCACTAAGCTTTGGGACGTTCCGAAAAAGAAATGATGAGTCTTATTTTGGGACAGAGAGTATTTCATAGGTGTACATTGATTGACAAGAATTTTATTATTGCCATAATGCCATCATGAAATGTGTTCTTTTAATTAAATAAAAGGTGTTTGCTGTATCCACCCCATTTTGGCTAAATTCAACCTTTTTATGTTTTTTTGTTCAACCTTTTTATGTAAAATGGACAATTTTACCCCTAAAAGTTGGTATGCATCTAATCTTCTTTTATATTTTTAATGGTAAAATTGTCTATCCATCATAAATGGGGTGGATTTTTCCAAAATGGGAGTGGATTTAGCAACACCCTTAAGTAAATTATTTGAGCATTATATTGATATATGGATGGTTTCAAATGGATAGGCCATAGCAGCAGCTTTTGCCTGTGATCAGCAACAATATCATGTGCATTTTGTAACTCATTCAGCACATGAGGTTCGAAGATGCGTCAAATAGTACACGCTCTCATGATTTTCTTCCTATGTTAGTGTAGATACTTGTTGGGTTGTCCTTGTGGAGGTTGTGAAACACCCTTAATTTAAAAGAGTTTATATCTTTATAGATACGCATGAGATGTAAATGTAATCACAAAAGGCTGTTTTTGTCCTTGAATCTAGTTTGAGCCTTGACCTCATGCAAACGGTTTTGTTCTGTTTTTTTCTCCCATTTGGAGGATAGAACCTGAGAATTCATTTGGAAACAAAAGGAGTTATGTACATTCCAGTTTCAGTGCCACCTGTTCTTGCTCCTACACAACATCATGGTATCGTATCATACATTCATACCCTATCCTGATATATACTTCAGGGCTGTTTCTAAAGAGTTTTTTTTCCTTTTATGTTTATCTTTTTGGGTGTGGCTAAAGTGAAATGAATAAATCTGTTGTTTTTTTTGTAAGAGAAAACCCATTGGTAACAAACATTTCAACCATATTCGTCAAAAACTACTTATTTTGTGTAAGCAGAATAGTCCAGGAGTTGATACCAACCGGACCTTTAGTCTGCCTTGGACTCATGCTGCTGTTTCAAGTTGAAAATTTTCACTTTAATCGGGGCTTTATCGAGAAATGACTTTTCTTAGCAGGTGCCATGGAGGAGCCCTTCTCTATCCAAAAAAAGGAACTTACCAGGAAGCATAGACAAGAGTGTGTGTCAATTATTGAGGGTATATTCGGAGACGAACCTAGCATGCACCGTGATTTCATTGCCATCAATTTTTTTGCACTGGTAAAGTACTAGCCATCTAGAGTGCACGCCTTTAAAGAATTAGATCTGTACAAACACGGGCCAACTGCCAAGGCTCGATTTGGAATGGGGTTTTTCATCATTTTATTGTCTGTTTACCAGGTATGCGCCCGGCCTGGCTCGCACTAAATGACCTAAAGTCCATTTCCATACCTGCCCACCATGACCCAAGTTTGTTCATGTCTACAAAGAATCTTTTTTAGTATACTTAAATTTTATTACACATCATATTCTCTCCGAAATGTGATGAAGTCATTAGGAGGTGTTTGGTTCACGGAATGTGAGATTATGTGGATGTAATATTCCCTTAAGTTGTTTGGTTAATGGAATGTGATATTGCTTATGTCGTTAAATTGTTAGGGACAATGTTGGAATAGCCAAAAACATTACAAAAGTTACATTACATCATCTAAAAGTAACTTAACTTTGTTCTACCATATGGATGACCCAGTAGTTTTACTAGTTTGAAAATCTAAACGAAGGTTTAGGTAATCTTACATTACCTTTTTCACTCTACATGAACAAAAAGGCCCACTGGGCTATATATCGTCTTAGCCTCGCCTTTAATACTAGTGGACATACCAACGTTGATCTTCTGAATAACAATTGCAATCATATTAAACATAGAAACTATGAAAAACTCATGCCAATACTAAGCAGTTTGATATTTTATATGAAATATTTAATATTCCAAAATTATAAAATGATCACCAGTGCTCCTAGATTTTCAACATTTGTTTTTTAAATTTCCATATTATATGGATCCCCCAATTTTTTATGAGTATCAATGATCATTTTGTGATCTTGGAGTATTATTGTAAAATTATTTAAACTCTAGAAGCACCGGTGATCATTTTGTAATCTTGGAGTATTCATGTAAAATCTCAAATTCTTGTGAGTATTGACATTAATTTTTTCCTAAATATAAGCTTTGAACAAACATTTAAAATTTTAAATACTACTATCATTTGAATTGATGTAAACTGTGAGGGAGGTAACTCGTGGATGAACTCCATTGAGTTCGAATGGTAGGAGATGAGAAGACATATCTCAAAAAGTCAAAATCATATTCTTTTGTAGGAGTATTTTATATGACCTTCTCTATATGTTTTGTAATCCAAATGAAAGTATCATAATCGTTTTTATAATTTAATCCTTTCATCTATTACCTAAACTTACCCATCCAAACATCATTTGATGATTTCACTCCCCTCATTCAGTCAATTTTAATGTTGTCTTCATTTTCTTTACCCCACCCATGAATATAAATACTTTTATGATGATGCATTTATTCTGTTAGGAAGGTTGGAGTCTTGCAGAGCTTTTTAATGTCCGTTGTGTTGTTGCTGCTCCTTATGTTGTTCCTTACAGGTAGTGATCCATATATTGTCATATGATCTTGCATAAAAGTTTTAGCTCTCTCTTGAAAAAAATTTCTTTTGTCATTCCGGTTTCTGGTGATATCGTCATTGTTAGATCATTGATGTCATTTAAGCTTCTATAATGCATATTTGTAAACAACATGTTTTTTCAGAGGTCCTGTTGTTTTCCAGTTACATAATGTTGAGCACTTGAGTATCCCAAAGCTTCAGTTACTTTATCCTAAACCGGTTGACGGCTGAGTTTGAGTCTACTATATATGTGTGAGCTAAATTCCGTAAGGGTCTTTTGGGGTGAGTTATGCCTAATATTAACATGGCTTGATAGTTTGGTCCCGTGGTCATTTGTGGGATGCATTCCCACTCGGCTTGGGCTGAGCGGGTGTGTTAAGTATACACCTCATTGGTAGTCTGATGAATTTGAATCTAGTACTTCCCAATTCTAACTTGTAGCGCAAATTGCACTGCAAGTTGGAATTTCCCAGTGGGAAGGAGGAAGATATGAGTGTGACCTAAAACCATACCTCATACGGCTCAATTTAATTCATTGTTAATCATGTCTATCAAAGGTCAATCAAATTATTGTGCCTTTCTTACTTCTAACTTTTGCGTACGAACATAGTGCCCCTGCATCATTTGCACGACAATTTAGGAAAGAGCTCCCACTTTTGTACAAGTATCTCCAGGAAGCCCCTGTTGACAAGGTATGTATTGAAGGTTGTAGCTGCTGCTTCATTACTTCTTGATTCTCCCTTGACACACACACACACACAATCACACACATGATTGGGAGTTGTCAATTTGTCATTTTAGCAGTGTTTTTTTTTATTTTGAGGGTTATCACTTCAGCCCTCCCACAAATGAAGAGCTATTGTTCTTGCTCTGTTAAAAAATGAAATGAGGGCATCATTCATTTAAGTAGGATATAATTTATAATTAGGCCGGATCAATGCACATGAGCGCAACTATATCCTTAAGTAAAATATTGATTCCAATTGATTATGTAGCCTAACTTATATCCTTATAAACACATATCTTTCTCTTAGTTATTTTGGTGGACTCTTAACAAGTTAACTTTCTACATCTATTGTTATAGATTGGTTGGACAGATGTTATCCACTGGATGTGGCCACTTTTTACTGAGGAATGGGGATCATGGAGAAGTCATGACCTAAAGCTGAGTTCCTGTCCTTTTACGGTCAGATCATTCTATTTTCCCTAATTTTATTCATGCATGAATATTGAATTGGGGGTTCACTTTGACATCACACAAATTAATGGGTTTTGAAAAATAACTTTACCTGCTTGAAATTCAAAACTGTCTTTAAACGAACACAGGATCCAGTAACAGGTCTTCCAACATGGCATTACCGGCCACCTTCTCCCTTGCTATTGTAAGTTAAATACCTTGACCAAAATTGTACATTTTATGCCACAGAAAATGTTATTCATATTATTAACCTGTATCATATTATATTAACATTTTCTAATTGGTACAATGGGATTGTTGAATATTTTACAATGTATTCAAATTATTGTATCATTTTTGGGTATTTACTTCATTGTCTGAGCACAATAACAGTAAAACAGTTTTAGAAAGACGTTTTTCTTTATTTCAACAAAGAAACATTTGTTACATATGGTTTCTTGATTCATGTTTTTGCGTTGTTAAGTTTATATCTAATAATAGATTTTTATAAAGTTATTGATTACTTTGGTTTGGTGACAGGTATGGATTTTCCAAAGAAGTTGTGGAGTGCCCTGGTATGATTGCAAGGGGATTAGTCTGAAAATTTGTATTATTATGTATTCGTGCCTAGTTTCCCTTACCCCTTATTTGGTCCAAAGAGGGGAAGGTAGGAAAATATAAGACTTAAAAAAGATATTTCGAGTGGTTCCATAGAGGAGTGTAAATGAATGATTAATCCAGGGAAAAAAATATGTATTTGATATAATGACATAGAACAATTCTTTTTTGGAAATGGCAGCCATTGAAATAATAGATCAACATGTTTACTGTTTCTTATTTATAGTCCAATGCCTCCAATATTCAATAATGATTTTGCCTGCACTCCACAGATTTCTTAACTCATCGTTTTTCATGCATGCAAAACAACGTATAATGACGATGGTTTTACAATTTTCATCTTATTTTTTTTCTCATAAAGTTTGAAGGGTTATCATGTGTAAAACATTGCCACTATGCATTTTTTATGGACTCATAGTCTTAATTAAGTTTAGACAATTAATTGGCTCTAGAAGTTAAATGCTGGGACCTCAACTAGTTGGGATTGAGATGCAGGTAATGATATTATGATGGTGAACACTTATATTTTTGCATAACAGGTTACTGGCCATCAAGAGTTCAGGTTTGTGGCTTTTGGTTTCTCCCCCCTGAGTGGCATTTCTCGTGTAACAAATGTGTGGAGGGATCTGCATTAGCTTCAACAGAGTTGACACCAGAAAGTGGGCTGTGTTTGGCTCACGCCAGATTGCAGTATTTCTTGAGTACTTATGGGCAAGAACCACCTCTTTTCATAAGTCTCAGTTCTGTTGGAAGGTAAAATAGCTACCTTTTGAGAATGTTCAAAACTGCTTTCGTGTTTTTTATCGTTTCACTGGTAAAAGCATCTCTAAGTCGTTCATTTGGGAAATCTGTTTATGATTAGGACCGTTTTCAAAGTACGCCAAAGAAGGAATTCACACACAAGTATGTGCTCAGAGACACTCTCATACAACTTTTGTCTTTGAATTCCTCCATTGGTGTGCACCAAGTTTAATTTTTATTATTATGCATTTTCTTCAAAACATTGTTGATTCCATTCTTGAAACTATAGATCCAACCGGATAGAGATATGCATGGTTGAGTTCAGTTCGTGCAATTTACAAAGCACATGTTTTTTTGGTCAATAAAAGAAAATGTTGTTGCATGAACTGTATTTCTATTGTCCTTCTTTCATTAGTGTTATACAATTTCAACAACAACCAAGACTTAGTCCCGAATCATTTGGTTTGGCTAGATGAACCATTAAAGACCCGGAGAATGCTAATGAAAGAAAATAGAGGAGAAATTTGGAAGTTTTGGGAGAAAAAATGTTGGTCAGAACTCAAATAGAAAGACTGATAAATATAAACAAATGTGAAATTTTGAATAGTTTCAATCAAATCTGATTTTCTTTCGTATTTTTCCAACCCCACACCAACATTAAAAACACTAATTTTTTCTTTCATTAGCATTTTCCGTGTTCCAAACATTGCCTTGTGGTCCTCTATTAGAATTGTCTCTTTCCTTTATGTGACGTAGACATGCACCATATAGTCATTAAGTGCTAACAATATCTCTTTTTACACCTTGGATTCGTGTCATTTTTCAGCAAACCCCTAAACTCCTGTTTTAGTCTCCAAAATTCCATAATTGAATCCCACCCTTTAAACTGAACAGTGCTGACTCTTGTTTTATCAGTTCTTTATACGTCTTCTTTGTCATAGACTATTGTTTCTCCTTCTTGCAGCATGGGTTTTATGAAGGACCCTGGGGCATTTCTTCGGGTGCTTGAACATGTTTTGGACATCACAAGTTACAGATTTATTCTGTTGGCAGCTGGATATCAACCTTTAGAGGATGCAATCCAACTGCATGCTCATGGAGCATCTTCTGGTTCAGAGCAAACACCATGCAATGATGATGGTGTTTTTCTTTTTGGTGGCCGTGTTCTCTCTTTACCCGGGTATGGTATTTTGGAACTGAAAAAACGGAGTTTGAGACTGAAGTGTGAGTTTAGTATCCCATATCAGTTGTATATTTGGTTTAAGTCTAGTGTATAATATTATAAGTCCGAGTTAAAACTCACACCTTGAGGATCTTTTTGGGGAAAGTTGGACACTATTTAGCATTTTAGCCTTTTATCTTACCTCCTCTGATAATGGTTTGTGGTGCACCGCCCACTCAATGCTTTTGGCAGTCTGTTTGTGGGCATGTTTGGACCCATCTGTCTACGCATTAGTTCCAATCGGGCATATCTTTAGTTTTTTTTGGAGTGGGTTAAGCCCAATTTAACAAGAGTTGCTACTGTATGTAGTTCTATACCATATACCTGGCTGTTACCAAGATGTGCTGCTGCAATCCATCACGGGGGCAGGTGAGAGTTGAAATTTTCTACCCCTGCCTCTCCAACCCACTGCAGTTTTCTGCAAAATCTGTTACTACATATTACTTATTACCATATCATTTCCTTGCATATTTTTGGCCTCAAATTTCACCAGCGGATCCACTGCCGCTGCACTACTCGCTGGAATTCCTCAGGTTTGTGTTGCAAATCTGCTCGAACTTATTCCATCATCTGATGCATACCATTCCTTTGTGTAATTCCTTCCTTTCTTTACTCTTAAACCTTGTTATGAGAAGCATCATTGCCCACTATTTTGTGTAGTTGGGAATTAATTTGGGTAAGAGGGATGCAAATGGAACTGCGGGTCCTAAGTGGAAAAAAAACATCCCCCCACCCACACACACAGCGGTCTACTTCAGAGTTTAAACTAGAGAGCATTTTGATGGGTGCAGACTTGATTTCCAAATATTAGTTTAGATGATTAATCATACTTAAAGTTTGTTGCTTTTGATATAAATATGTAAACTTATGGGATGTAATAAGGCTATGTACATCTTGACCCAACGAAGTTGGGATTATACTAGCTTGTTGTTGTTGTCAATAATATACACCACGATGTATGTGTGACATTTACTCTTCCATCTATTAAATAATTAATTTTGATAGGTGATATGTCCATTCATGCTGGATCAGTTTTATTGGGCAGAGAGGATGTTTTGGCTTGGTGTTGCTGCAGAGCCATTAAAAAGAGAGCTATTGGTACCACACATTACAGATGGCAACGGTTTAGAAGGAGCCAAAATGCTTGCAAATGCCATAAACTTTGCTCTTGCTTCTCACGTTAAAGCGCGCGCATCAGAGTTTGCAACTGCACTATCTACCGAGGTACTACTCCTAAGCTCCAATCCGTTGGTATGGCTATTCCTAATAGGGATTTTTGTTTTTGCCCCTCTGTTACTATGTCCCTGTTAGCCAACAATTCATCGTTTTGAAAAATCTATCTAACGACAATATTTGGCTTTAGCATTTTGTAAACATGTGAATCTGCACCATTAAAGCATTTTCTAAAACGCTATCTCTAATTGAAAACGCTATTCCGAAACAATGCCCATTTCATATAGAAGAAAACTACACGTTCATATATTAGCAATTTGCTAGGATGGTGTTTCGGAAGCCGTGAAGAATTTGAAGGAAGAGCTTGGAGGCTCTACTTGAACCACTACACTTTGGCTTTGGTGAAGTGTTGGAGGTCTTCTACTAGCAGATAGTATAATATATACTCCATAATGTTCTTGGGGTATCTTTGTAATACTCGATCTGTCTTATATCTTTATTCTCATTATCTTTTTTGGACATTCTCATTGTTTCTTTTTGGGCATTCTCATTTTTTAATTTCCACCTTTTTACACCTAAAAGAATACTTTACTTAACTACTACTATTACTTTTGTACTCTTCACTTCTTTTTCTTACAATCTCTTCAATTTACTTCATTACCAAAGACAAAAATAAAAAGTTAATCATTTTTTATCTTACATTAGTGTGCCAAGTCAACAAGAAGCAACATATTGGACAGAGTGAGTAGTTTCATTGTTATATTATTACGTTTATTAGGAATATAGTGAAGACATTGTAATAATAAAACTTGATGAAAACATTACAAATCATAGCTCGGTTTAAAATCAATTATTCGGCAAAAGTTGGAATATCTTGTTAGAAAAGTTCACCCAATTCAAAAGGAAAAAATGTTATGAAAAAAGAGACAAATGGAGAAAATAAGAAACAATTACGGAGTATATTTTAATGCCATTTTAATGGAATTTTGGAGAGATTAGTCCTCTCGGAATAAATTAATTACCACAAATTTTAAATGTCTCTGTTAGTTTTGTTTTTTTGAAAATATGACTTCAGAGTTATTTCAAAAAATTATGTCATCTCAAAGTAATACGTTGTACTCCGTATATCGTAAAATGTATAGAATATAAAAGAAAAGTGAAAAAAAATGAAAAAAAGGGGTAAAGATATTCGAAATAAGAAAGCCTCTAATTAAATGTGGAAAATTACTATACATCAAGTATGCACAAGTGAAACCACAATATGGATCTTAATTCACATGGAATGTTTTTTTAGTCTTGAATGAACTAACTAACCAATAATTTAAATTTATATATCATGATAAAAAAACTCTTAATATTGTCAATTGCAGTAAAGAAATCAAGTACATAAAAATAGAAAGTGCCAAATAATGCTTACTAGTACACAAAAATCGTTTAAAATGTTAATTATCCTTCGGCTATGAATTATCAATAAAGAAAAAAAAGAAAAAAAAATCAGTTGGAAGAAAAAAACATTTAAAAATGGTATATAATGATCCAAAAACACAATTTAGAGGAAAATGATTGGGATAGGGAGGAAAATAAATTAGTATTTTGGAAACATTTAGAGCATTATGTATAGAGCTAACTAACCATTTAACCAATAATATTTTCAACCCTAAAACTAACTAAATAATGTTTTAGGTACATGTTGAGAGCATTTTGTTTAGAAGATTATATTAGAAAATTGTTTGACAGAATAAATAAAACACTCATAAAACGGTTCTTCCTCCGCCGCCATTGAATTTGAGTTTTTGATTTCTTTCATATAAATTTGTTTTTAGGGTTGTCTTCATGAACAAAGTTGGCTCGAGATAAAAAATGAAAGTTGAAAAGTGAATGGAGAATTAAGATGAAATTTGTCATGTCGATCCACCTCCTTTTCTTGTACACACCTTTTCGATCATATGACAAATTAATCTTATGTTGAAAAAAAGGATGACTCTAGATATCGGCTGGGCAAAGAGGAGATCGAATGTGGCTTTGGCCTTTTTTTTTAAATTTAAATCTATTTTGGTCTTTTGGATATAAAAACGTCATGCTAAGAGCCAGTTTTTTTTTCAGTTAGAATTTTAAAGTTAAATGTTAGAAGAAACTTGAAAGGAGGTGGAAAAAAACTAAGAGTTAGAAAAAACTGGAAATAGTTGGAAAAATTAAAGTGTTAAAAAATGATTCAGTTAATTGATCACTCTAATAAATACGGAGTATGTAATTATCTTTGTCCATGTTTGAAGTTATATGTTATAGATTTAGATGTATGAAGTTATTATATATGGAGTATTCATCATATGTAAAAAAAAATTTAAATCATTATTGGAAGAAACTTTAGAAAATTAGAAAAAATTGAAAAGTCTTGGAATTTAACTTTTCGAACCCAAAAGAATAGACTCTTATTTTTGGATATGAGACATGTTTTGGTCCTATCAAGATGTTTAACAATATTTGATTAAATGCCAAATATAATGCAATAAGAACAGTGGTTGGCACGTCAGTATCAATCTTCCATTGTCGTCCAGCGGTTAGGATATCTGGCTTTCACCCAGGAGACCCGGGTTCGATTCCCGGCAATGGAATCTCCTTTTTTTTATAGCTGAAATATTTTCTTACTTGGAGAAAAAAAATACAGTAAATAAAAGGACGGGAAATTGGCAGTGAACAATCCGATAGGACATTCCAAAAATTAAATAATTAAATGCACAATTCGATTTAGAAAACTTTATTTTGAGACAATATAGTAAATTCTTCCTCCGTTCCAATTTTTTGGGTATAGTTTTACTGTTTTTGTGAAATTCCTACATATTCTGACTACTAATAGATACAGTATATTTTTAAATTTGGAGAAAATAAATTTTATAAAAAATTTGATATATCAAAACTAAGTCTAAAAATAAAATTTATTATTTTGAAAAAATCTTATAACTAAATATAATTTTTTAAATCTGAGATCAAAGTTTAGAAAATTTAATTAAAAAATAAACTGTAAGAAGTATTTTGAAATGGAGAAAGTATAGTTTTGTCGGAGCCACACTAGTCCCTAGTCTCTATTATTGACCAATTCTTAAACATAAAATATAAATCAGGGATTTAATTATGTATACCTGATAATCCTGTAAACATAGTTAGGGATGGAGGCATGATTCTCACGCAGATCGAGTTCCCGTTTAAGGTGTATTGTTATGATGGTTAAAGTGAGGATGAGACTTATTGGAGGAAACAACGATAATGCAGATCAATCGAGAGTCGTGTATAACACTTTCAGATTCAATATTTTGGTTGTTCAATCCAGAATTCAACCAGATAAAATTCGAAAGTAGCAAGAACGAATATGGGATTGCTATGAATTTACGAACACCTTTCGACCAAGGATTTCGGGGAATATATAGAATTGCGGTGGAGAAGAAAAGATGTGATCTCGTCTTTTTATCCTAATATGTGCGATCCTTCACGCGAGACATTTAAGAAATCGGTGCTATTCCAATGAATTTTCCTTTTAAAAGAAATTCGAAATAAAAATTCAAATAAATTTTTTAACATAGCACTTTGACCAGAATAAAAATTTTTTTACCCCAGCCAGGGGTTCTCTCCTCTTGGACCCTGCAGGGGCTGCCGCCCCTTGAACCCTGCTCGGGGGCGCCTCTGAACCCCCGCCAAGGGGGCGCTGCCACCTTAGAACCCCCGATAGAACGAGAGTTTTATCTTAACAAATTCAACAAAGTGTGCGCTTCGCACCACCAAACTTCTTTGATGATTATTAGGATATCATTGATCATAATTTTTCCAATTAGACTAAAATAGATAACAAGACTCACGAGAATAGAGAGGGAGAGAGGAGGCGTAAGATTGATGTGTTGTGATCTCTGCCTAATGACCTATATATATATATATATATATATATATATATATATATATATATATATATATATATATATATATATATATATATATATATATATATATATAT